AATATTCACAATTTTATCAACCTTGGTAGAACCGGATACAAGTCTCCCAACATTTCAACAACATATTTCTCGCAACTTAGAATAATATATAGGGAAAATTTAGTGATTTTATTAACTATAAAAAAAGCTGTACGTATTCTTTTTGTGGTGAGGGAATGAGTTGTCAAATAAAGGGAATGCATTTTAGGCTTTTAGCTATCAAGAATATCAATACGTACACTCTCAAAATGGAAAACCAACTACTACAACATATACATAATACACTATTTTATCAGACAAAAATTCTTTTCTCATTTCCTAATGGAAGGGTCATCATCTCCTTTTCTAACCCCCACATTCGAAAAGAATACTATTTTAATTCTTTTGCTTTTATTTTCAATTTACTTTTACCCTTTGGAAAATCTCCTCTTCTACTAGATCTCGATACTAGTCGTTCATTTGTTGGGCGGTCACCGCCAATTAGACTTATATAATTATCTCATCCATCTGATCAATTTATGTGATGGTATCTGACTAGATACGAAGTTTCAAAAAGAATTTTGAAATTTAAGGTCTAAAATAAATTATAAATCATCTCATTAAGGTAAAATGAGAAGTTTAAAATTAATTAATTTTAAATAAAGAAGTATGACATTCTTTTTAAATATACCAATCAAGAAATATAATTAGGACCATAGAGTATAATGGTTGAGTATTAATTTTTTTTATTATTGCGAAGCTTAGTGGAATGATTCAGAACAATTTTTTTCTATTTGTACTCATTAACTCTTCTTACATTCTGTAAGTTTTATATATTCTATGAATCTAAGTGGCTAAAATACCAATAGGGTGTGCTCATATTTGATCCATATATTTAAAATACTGACACTTTTTATAAGTTATTGAAACTTTTAATTTTATATTTTCGGGAGGAGGGGGATTTAAAAGATCAACGATTTGGCCTGGATTTGGAAAAAAAAAAAACAGTCCGGTACACAAAACATTCCGTATTCACGAAGGGTATGGGGAAGGGCTGCGCTCCAAGGAGTGTAATGTAAGCAGTTTACCTTGATATAAGTATCAGTGACTGATTTCATAACTCGAACTCGTGTCTTATAGGACACACGGAGACAACTTGACAGTTGCTCGCATAGTTGAATCCATTAATTTGAAGAAACTAAACCATACTATATATGCACTAGTAATAGTTGAATCCATTAATTTTTGTCCACACTGACCAACTAAAATTAGCTTGGGTAAAAATATTCTGAGTGGTCAAGGAAAAGTAAAGTCCACTAAAATTTTTGAGCTTTTATCGGTTGCCATTTCCATCAAACTGTCTGCCCTTAATTACAGGGAAAGCCATTGTTATAACTTTCATGAATTTAATCTTGTCTTAGCTTAGTGGGGAACAGATTTTTGCTGTTGGCTGAGGTTCCCATAAATGACTTCCAATTTCTAGTTTTATCACAATTACTTATTCCATTCACATTTTCAGATTATTGATTCCATAGTTAGCTGATCTGGAAATACAACAAAATAATAATATACCCGGTGTAATCTTACAACTGGAGTTTAGGGAGGGTAATATATACGCAGACCTTACTCCTACTTTGTGAAAATAGAGATACCGTTTCCGATAAATTCTCGGTTCAGGGATTAGCTGACCTGGAAATATGAAACATAATGAGCATATGGAGTAATTTTATGGATGATCATTCAATTTTTACTTTTATCACACTAATGTTACTAAGCTATTTTTTATAATTAAAAAGTTACTCAACTATAACTATGTATTATGAAAGTCACTAAACTATTCTTTTAGTCAAAAAATTATTGAAATTTGTCTAACTATCATAGAATATGTTTCATTTGTTTCCTCCTAGTAATTTTCTGGACATGCAGGCAGATTCGAGTGACTTTTTTTTTAAATCCAAAGAATCCATGCTATTTAACAATCTTATCATGGCAATTAGTAGTACATTATTTTCGATTTCTGAGAGAAAAGGTGTTTTAATTTGGGCTGTAATTTGCTATAGTCAATGATTGATCTAAACATTTCTCCTGTCTTGAATTTTGTATTTTTTTGCCTTTTTACTGAGGAACGCCTTTTCTTCACTGATCTACAATATGGTATTCCATTATATATGAATGTGCCAATTATTACATAGGCGGACACAGCGCTATGACACCGGATTCATTTGAATCCAATACTCTAGAAGTAGTGTATAAATGCTAAAATATTATAGATTCAACGCTAAAAACTTATAGGTTTGAACTCATAGAGTTTAACTTCCGAATCTGGTTCTATTAATTAATCTCTATTTTGTTGTGTGATAGTGATGAGAGCCAACCATTTGGTGCATAAGCTTGTGTAATAAAAACCATAGCCTCTTTGCTTCTTGCAATAGTTTACTAGTTAAGATCCTAATAGTATATTATGTTAATATTTATATGTATAATAACAAAATACAGAGTTATCACGGACATAATGTCTTAGTATCGTTCGCGATAACAATCTAACAAAAGTAGTTCCTCATTTGTTTGCTCTAATAACTTCTTGAGCAAACAAATGACGAACTGCTAAGTAGCCTAAAAGAACAAAATTTCTTTTTCCTTGTCGCATCCTGTTCTGCTCCCTGTAGCTATTGCTTGAGCACGGGATCCCCTAACTTGATGTCTTGTATCTTCTGAAGGCGATTAACAATGTCATTAACAGTGATTAATCCTCCTTCAGTACTACTTAGCAAAGCTTGGAGCTCTTTTTTACTAATGACAAGCTTAATCCTTACTGCCTCTGTTGTCCTAATTTGTTTTTTAGCTTCTTCTTGATCAACTACTTCTTTTGCAAATTTGACCACCTTCTTCTTTTTGGCTATTTTTGGAGGAGGCACTGGTAATATAGGCAAAAGATAATAAAGTTGACCAGCTAACATGTTAGAATTTGGTAGTAGATTTTGAATGACTGAAAGGGATTCAGATATTGCATATTGGCCACCAAATTGTGATAACACTTGATATACCTTTATTGGAGCTTTGTATTCAAGAATCTTCCCATCTGTTTTCATCACTTTTACAACTTTTTCTTGCAAAACTATACAATTCCCCATTTTTGTGGTATGCAATTTTGTCAAGGAATTAACAACTTGAGGAGTGGAAGTACAAGTTGGTTTATATTGAGTGTGGTTTGTTATTTGGAGCATAGTTGTGTTCCTTTTATAAGGAATTTAGGTATGGTAATGCCCCTTATAATAAGGAATATTACAAAAAAAACCTTAGCACTTTGGACCCCACCTTGTTGATTTTTTGTTAAAGTACAATTAAGGGGTTAAAAGTCTTGATGTTTTCATTGAGATGATCATGATTTATTTGAAATATTTTCCTTTACCTTTCTGATACAATCCGATTCCATTAGTGCCAAGAAAAGGATCTGCCTATTTACTTTTTTTTATTTTCTGCCAATATATGGATGTTACCAATTACTTGTGTAAAGAAAATAAACTAGCTTAATTCTGATGAACAGTTACGGCTTGTGTCCGCCTAAAGCTTCCTTTTTTTCTTTTGAGTCTTTCCTTGCAATGAACCGAAAGGTGAGAGGAGGGCTCTGTTCAAAGTTTAATTTGATTATGAAAATAAACTGAGTTGTCTAACATCACTCCTAAAATTAGCTTATGAAGTACTCCCTCCGTTTCAATTTAGACGAGCTAGTTTGACTCGGTACGGAGTTTAAGAAAAATAAAAAAAACTTTTAAAATTTGTGGTCTTAAAAGCTTAAAGGGGTAAAAGAATTTACAAATGGTATGATTTCTATCAAGAAAATTGCATCTGAAATGAAAATCAAACCCGAACTTTGTAAGTAACGTGTGATATATAG